CAGCTCTTCATGGAAGTAACCTTATATGGGGTGGGAAAGAGGAATGTCTGAATTAGGGTTAGAGTAAAGGAAGACAGGCAGGGGACTGCTACTCAGTCCTGAAAAGAGGGTCCTAGCAAACATCTTGTGATGGGAGGGCAGCAGATGAGATCATGTTTGCACTATAACAACAAAAAGAACCATTAGAGAAGCTTCTACTGCTTTTATTCTTCTGTTGTTCTTTCCTTTGGAAGCTGGAAGGCATAAAAAGGTAGAAGTTGTCCCAAAACAGTAGCAGAGAATTTTGAAAATGAATTATGAAAGAAGCCTTTGAGAAAAGCAGTCTAGAATTTTCCATGAGAGTACATGTCCCACCTCAAATTCCTGTCATAACATATAACAGATCTATCTTTGAAGTAAGTCTTCGCACAAATGGCCTGATTTTAAATGGGCAATAGACTTTAGTAGGCATTCTCAAAAGAAGATAGAAAAATGGACACACACAGGAAAAAACTTTCTGACAGAACACCATTAGCACAGCCACTAAGATCAATTCACAAATGGGACCTCATGAAACTGAGAAGCTTCTACACAACAAAGGACTCTGCCATGCAAAATGGTAGCCTAAAGAATGGGAAAAGGTTTTTACCAACTACACATCCAATAGAGGACTAATATACAAAATGGACAAAGAACTAGATATCAAAAAAAAAACAATTAAAAACTAGGATACATGAATAAACACAGAATTCTCAATATAGGAAACTCAAATGGCTGAGAAACACTTAAAGAAATGTTGAACCCTTAGTCATCAGGGAAATGCAAATTAAAACAACTATGAGATTCCCTTCTACACCTGTCAGAATGACTAAGATCAATAAAAACAAGTAGGAGCTCATGCTCGTGAAGATGTGGATTAGGAGGAACACTCCTCCATTGCTGTAAAGTCAGCCCCTATGGAGATTAATGTGATGGTTCCTCAGGAAGATGAAAATTCATCTAACTCAAGATTCAGCTAAACCAGTCTTGGGCATATAGCCAAAGGATTCTTCATCTTACCATAGAGACTCATGCTCAACTATGCTCACTGCTGCTTCATTCATAATATCCAGATATAGGAAATAACCTACATGTCACAAGGAAATAACCTACATGTCCCTCAACAGAAGAATGGATAGAGAAAATGTGGTACAATTACAGGATGGAGTATTACAGAGCCATTAAAAATGAAGATGAAATTCACACATAAACACATGGAGCTTGGGGGAAAATCATCCTGAGTGAGGTAACACAGACCCCAAAGGACAAAAATGCTATGTATTCATTTATATGTGAATGTTAGCTCTTAAGTCTTCAATAAGTAAGCTACAATCCATAGGCCCACAGCAGTTAGTTTTAAGAATAAAGGACTAGAAGGGAGGGATTAATTTCCCTAGGAAAGGGAAATAGGATAGTTATGAATAAATGGGGGCAGAGTGTAGAAGGAGAATGTCAAATGGGGAAGGGAGAGAAGAGGGGACAAGGGAGGGAATATGGGGAGGGATAGCTTAAACTAATGGCCATTTGGGGGTTCATATGGAAACCTAATACAGTAAAAGCTTCTTAAAATATGTATGTATGTGAAAGTAATCTAAATGGAATCACAAAATAACGGGAGAGACAAAATCCCAACTAGACATTTCTCACGCCAAATTAAACCTCTATGCCAGTAATGGATAATATCTAATATAGTTGTTAGCCAATGAGGCTCCATGGACACCCCACACAATGCAGGCAATTGCCAAGGCTGTTGGTTGCTTTCCACAGACTGATGCAAAAGCCCTGTTGTTGAAGACAGCACCTACATAACTCTCTGAACATGGAGAAGTCAAGCTGGTGTACACCTAGGGCCTTCACCTCTACTGACTAATGTCCATGTTACTGGAAGTTACTCTGCACACAACCAGAGGAGAAAGGTAAACACCAACCCAGGTACAAACCCTTTGATCTACAGTAGTGACTTGCCTGCAAGATACTCTGGTGTACTGGTAATGAAAAGCTGTGGGAGTAACCAACCAATAACTAATCGAAGTTAAGGTCCACACCATGAGATGGAACCTACATCCAATGCTGCTTGGGTGGCCAAGAACCTGAGACCAGGAACCTGGTGAAAAACCAAATGTTACTGTTCTGCTAAAGAAACATAACAGTGAAATGACTCCTAATGTATTCTGCTGAACACATACATCAGTGCCTTGCTCAGTCATCAACAGGCAATCTTCCTCCTACAGCAGATGGGAACAAATACAGAGACCCATAGCCAGACATTATGCAGAGAGTGAGATACCTTAGAATACTCAGCACTAAATGAGATGTCGCCATCAAATTCTTCCCCTCAGGGATCAGGGAATGGGTCGGAAAAGGAAGCAAAAAGACTGTAAGAACTAGTGGGGAGGAAGACACCAAAAACAGTTTCTTCCAAACACTTAACAGGATCTACAGATATACAAACTCACAGAGTTTGAGCATGTACTGAGTATACAGGGGTCTGCATCTGATGGCATCCTTAGAACTGAGAGAAGTGGATGGAAATCCCCAATCCCTAACCTAGAAGCTTTCTCCAATTGATAACTACTTGCAAAGGAAAATTAATTTTATTCAACTGCATCTCACTGAGTATATAAACCACACTGAAAGGCAAGTCCCATGCCTAGCAGTAGTTGGCCAATACAAAACAAATTCAATGGTATTTTTGGAGGTTCCCTGCTTGTATCATAATGCCTTGACTGGGCATTATCTTTTTCCTTCCTTACAAGTCTTTGAGTATATATTATGGTTTCCTGTGTTGTGTTTTTATGGGATTTCAAACCAACACGTGTGTGTGAGAGCATGTGTGCACACGTGTTTAGGTGATTCTTGTACTTTTGTTTTGGCTCATTTTCTTTTCTCAGTCTGTTTCATACTACTCCAGTTTATTATTATTTTAGCTTATTTTATTATTATTTTTAAATGCCCACATGTATTCTAATGAGGAAAAAGGGTATGTATTTGGAGGGGAGGATTTTAGTTCAACCTGAATGACCTAATATAGTATGGTGATTATTTTCCCAATGTAGTTACACTGAGAGCATGCACATTAGGGGATCTAAGGACATGTCGCTTCTTCCTGAAGTACTGTATATTGTAAGAATCTGCTCCCTCTGTGTGTGTGCATTCGCGTGTGCACGCGCGTATTTCTGTCTCTCTCTTTCATAAATGCACACTCAAAAGTACATATACTGACAGATTGTCTTGTAGGACAATAGGACAATGTGACTACTACTAGAAAAGGTGAAGGACAGGAATCACAGTAATATGTTTGTAACTCGCTGGTGAGTTTTCCCAGGTTTCAAAGTAAAAGGTTTTGAGCAGCATGGTGGTACATACCTGCACTCCAGAGGGTAAAGCATGAGTGTGAGTTAGAGGTCAGGCTGAGCAACACAGAGAGACCTTATGTCTTATTAATAAGAAAAATAAAAAGGCTTGGAGAACACAGTTCATTGGTAGACTGCTGGCCAAGCATATGCAATGTCCTGAGTGTGGTATCCATCACCACAGGAAGAGAAGAGAAAGTTTCCAAAATGACTGTATGGTGCATGAATGAGCAGATGACGGAATAGCATTTGAGTCTACTAAGAAATGAAACATAGATACCAAACCACACTTTAGTCCCTGAAAACAGTCTTCGAGTGGAAACCAGCACACACAAAAGGCTACACACACAAAAGGCTAAGCAAATGCACACACAGAAAGTAGGTGTATGGTACTTATGAGCTGGGGAGAGACTGGTAACAGAGTTTCTTTAGGGATTGGTAAACTATTGTAAACATGATGGTGGGGATATGATTTCTTGAATATAGTAAAAATCACTAAACTGTATGCATCAAATGGGTAAACTATCTGTATGCATCAAATGGGTAAACTATCTCATCTCAGAAAAGCTGCTACCAAGAACCAACAAACGTTAGGTGGGAAGTGCTTAGCAAAAGGCACACACCCAGACATACCCTGCAATCACACCCTGTGGCTCCTACTCCGAATAAACTCAAATCTACATCACATAACTCTGTGTTCTCTACAAGACAGAAGTAACAGGTCAAGGACTGCCAGCAATGAGACTCTTTATTAAAAGTGTCTATAACAGATGCTTTCCATCAAAACCTAGTGACAAAGGAAGGACAATGAGCATATCAGCTTCCAAAGGTCCCATTCTACCAGAGGCTGCCTGCTTCTGGTTTTGATAAACAACCCATACCAGCACTGCTGAAAACTGCTTCCCCAGCAGCCATTTACTAACCATGCTACCTCAGAATCTGGCCAAAAGATGTTTATGGAAAAATCTGGCTGACATACACAGACTTTCAAGGCTTAGTTCACTTCCACACTAATTTCATGAGGAGCATCTGAAAGCCTGGGATATAGAAATCAGAGCCAAGTGCTTTCAATTTGTTTTTAAAAGTCAGGGTAAAATAAGAACTTCATATGTACATGGCAAAAGAGATCAGCAGCTATGCTCCACTGAAAAGTACACACACTGTGGTCACTCTCCATGTTTGTTTTCTAAAATTGATACAGGACTGAGGGTGTAGCTTGGTGGCAAAGCACCTGCAGCATACACAAGACAGTCAATCCCAGTACTGTAAAATTTTTTTAAAAAGGTATAAATCTCTAACTTCCTAAAGCTAAACTAAAGGTTTTATGTGTTTAGGAGTGCAGCTTGGTACCTTGCTAGCATGTACAAGGTCCAGGGTTCCAGGTCCAGCACATCTAAGAAAAAAAATGTGAAAGCCGTTTATTATGAATTACTGCTGATATTGCTCATCCTTTCCTTCTCAACCATTTGCTAGTAAAATCAGCCAATTGCAACAAATGTTGGTAAATCACCATTTCCAATGCAGAAACCCAACATTGTCACATTTATTTTTTTTTAAGCTCAGGAAACACAGGAAGACTGACATGTTAAGTCACTACATAGTGAGAAACCATTTTACGATTTCACTTACTCAGAAGTAAACGCAGGCAAATCCTTTTCTTTCAGACTTCTCATCTATCTTCAATTACCTGTTAATGAATAATAGCCAAAGTAAGGTAAAAATGTCAACCAATACATGCTGAAGTATATATGTCAACATCTTATTACTGGACAGAGGTGATTTAGTTAAATCTAATCCGTCTGCATGTAGACGCTTTAGTCAACAAAGGACCACATATAAGACAGTGACCCCATACACTTTTATCATCTGTGGCATCACAACTAGGTTGCTTCCAGTGCACGTACTCTATGGATGCCCACCCAGCAAAAATCTAAGGACGCATTCCTTTGCACATACCCCCTGAAGAGCTCCTCAACTATACAATAGGAGCATTCTGTAGCTTTACTAAGAACCACATAAGGTGGCAGGAAGCCGTCACTAATGAACTTAATGACTATACAGCTGCATAAAGTACACAGACAGTTCACACAAACTTGCTCAGAGTTTATCCTGATCTCAGAATGCTCAGGAGCAGCCTATAAATGACATTTCTCAGTTACAGAAATCCCTCCAGGAACCTTCTCAATGCTAACACAACCTCCTCTGTCATCCAAAAGAACACCAAGTGAAAACTGAAGATCTTTCAAGTAAAGGTAAGACTAAAATAATTTTAAATGGGCAGAATGCAGTGATACACAACTTTAATCCCAAGAATCAGAAACCAGAAACAGAAGGATCTTACGTTCAAGACTAGTCTGGGCAACATAGTAGCCTACATAGTCACTCTGACTGTGCCGATTGAAACAGCTGTTTCCCAGATACACAAAGCACCCCAAAGGACATAAACAGCCTGTTTAGAATTTTCTGCTCTACGAGCATAAGGTAGGGAAAGCATAAGGTGGAAGAGATGGCTCTCACTGGGCACAGGCAAGGGAGGAGGATAGTCAGAACATGTGATGTCCATATTTTGCAGTGACAAATAGTTCTGTGGACAAATTCAAACACACACATGTGCACATGCATATAAAGAACCATGGTCAACTGACTTCCAGAGAGCTCATATCTATACCAGCACAGGTAACACCTCAAGGCACACTCCAGAGCAAGCTAAGCTTGTAATCCCTACATTAGCTTCCAAAGTGGGTAGGGCTAAGAAGTCATGACTATGAGTAAGTGTGTCCACCATGCATGATCCCTACTGCTGAACCATGTCCACTGAACTGTGAGCTTCCTGTGGTATCTCAGAGAACAGCAGCAATTTCTCACTTACCCTCTGTGTCTTTTGCATGTAGAACAGTCTTGTTTTCATGTCTACATATTCTCAGCCCAGGGAAAACCTAAAGGGCCTTCCTGGCCAATGGGGCAAGGACAAAGAGAAAGGGAAACTGAGGATTCTAACTCTTTGGTGTGTTGCCTTCCTCTAACCCCAGGCAGGGAAACAGAGCCATTTAGATATAGACAACTGCTGCATGCCCAGCCAGTGTAGGCTGAAAGAATTCATGGCCAGCAGCTTTGAAACATCTGCAGCTGGCAAAGTCAGCTCCAAGATACCTGTTCACATATTTAAATACATGGTCTCCCGCTAGTAGCACTGCTTGGAAAAGCTATGAGACTTTTAAGAACTGAGTCATGGCTGAAGTAAGCCACTGAGGGCAGACCTCAAGCTATAACTGGCACTAACACAGCAGCCACACTGTAGTGGACTGCACTCTTATTTATTTTTATTATATATGTATGGTGTCTCTCTGCATGTGTGTGTGCGTCACGCGCATGCATGAGTATAGTCTCCACAGTGGTTACTACAATTGAATATGAAAATGTTCTTAGTGTGGAATGGTAGAAAAGTAGGGTCGCTGTTACAAATCCTATAATCACATACAGCAGTTCTCCCTTATCTGAGATGTTAGTTTCAGCTATATGTGGTCTAAAAATATTAAGTGCAAAATTCTGCAACTAAACAATTCCTTTGTTTTAAATGGCACACAACTATGATTTGTATGGATTCTTGTTCTGTCCCCATCTCATCCAAAGTAAGATTCATCCCTTAGTTTGGCACATCTACACTATACATACCAGCCCCCACATTGGTCAATTAGAGGACATCCATTATTATATGGCTTGTCACACATAACACTACAATACTCATGTAATCAGATATTTCTTATTTTACTTAATAATAACGTTCGTGCTAAACTTACTTATTTACCCACCTCATTTCACTTCATTACAAAGGCATCACAAGAACAGTGGGTACCACATAATGATATCGTAAGGGAAATTCACATTCATGTAGCTCTTATCATAGTATACTGTTACAACTGTTGTATTACTGTTATATATTATATTATGTATCTTACTGTGGTAACATACATTTCATTTTCTTACACATATATAGTTGGCATAGGAAAAATAAAATATAATACAAGCTTTATTAGGAATCTACTAGAGACCTTAAGCTAAGTGCCCCACCTACGGGAGAGGGGGAAACTATTTTATTTCTATTGGAGTGGTGCATTCCACTGTGGACAGTGTGAGGAGCTAAAAGGACACAAACATGAAGTTATTATCTGAGGAAGGTAGGGAGAAAAAAATGAACACAGGCAATGGTTTCCTATGATCAGCAAACTGGCAGATTGGCTTCATCCACTGCTTTGCAATCTGTGCTCACCAGTTTTATGAATGCCATATGTCTAGACCCACCCACCCTTCATTCCTTGTTCAAGGTAACTAAGCAGGTCTCCTAACCGGTTTCCCATTGCCTAGTCTCACGCCCTTGGAGAGAACTTACTTACCCTGTTCAGACCTGCAACACAGTCATCACCTCTGTCCTTCACACCCATTTCCAAACCCTCTGCTTCTTATGCAGAGTCCAGGGCTGTCTTGTCAGATTTATTCTTTGCAGAATACACCCTTTTGGTTCCTTGACTCAAAACTGACAAGAACCCGCAAGGAGCACTATGGTCTCTGAGTCTTTGTCTCTGGATATGAAGTAGACAGTTTTTATGACTCTATTCTCTCTAGGAATTAAGAGCACAGATCCCAGGTCAGAGAAGCTAACACAAAATCTGGGCTTAACATCCCAGGGTCCAGCATGCTCAGGGCCTTCTATTCCTTGCCTATATAGAGTAAATGACTTCCTGAAGGATGACACAATGTTAGAGGATAGCTTCTACCACATTCACTAAAGAGCCTAGAGAATCCTTTGTGGCATGCAGAGAATGTTATATACCTAAAATTGGTTTTGGGATTGAACTCCATTGTGTGTATGAAGAATTTCCAGCCTTGTCAAACAAAAACCTGGTGTGTGGGGGGGGTCCCCTCATGAGGGGCACCTATATTACCCAGGTGCTGGGAGAGATAACGATATATCGAAAACACATAGTGTTACTCCTCCTAGCTCATCAATATCATCAGCTGACCAAACTGGTAGCACACACCTGACACCTCACCACTCAACAGATAGCAGGAGGATCTCTAGTTTGAGGGCAGCCTGGAATGCGGAGCAAGACTGTGTGCCAAAACAAACAAACAAATATGCTGTGTGGTAAAATAAATAACTAAGCAAGCAACTGAAAGACATCATTACTAGCTATCATTTTAAAAGGTTTTTTTAAAAAGTATCAAGGATACTGAAGAATCGATAAAGTATATTACTCTAAACTTTCCCTTCTTACGTCAAGAAAAAGTTATTTCTGTACCAATTCCTTGTATTTATCTCAATGGAAACACTGAAGAACTTGTAGCTCTTTCTTTGCTTTTGGGGTGTGGGGCATGGGGTGTAGGGTGTGTGTATGTGTGTCAGAGTCTGTATCAGGTGTCTTCATCTACTGTTCTCCATGTTTGTTTGGAGAGTTTGAAGTGAACTTGCAGCTCACCAATTGGGCAAAACTGCCTGACCAGCAAGTCCCCAGTGTCTATGTGTCTCTGACCCCCAGCTATGAAGTTACAGATGCATGTTATGTTAACACAGCCACCTTTTACATGGGTGCTGGTGATCTGAACTACAGCACTTGACCCACCAAGCCATCCAGTTCCTGTGAACTATTTTAGTTCTAATACCTCACTTTCATTTTCTGCTTTTCTGTAAAGTTCATGAAGCCTATTTAATGTACAAATTTCAATGGTGTTTAGAAAAATATCACCCTCTAACAGGTAAGGAGACAGAAAATAACTAAGGTGTATGTAATCTAATGCCTCCAAAAAATTTTAATTTTTTTGTGTATACACACTACAGAGGTCAGAAAAGAACATCAGATCCCCTCAAGTTAGAACTGTGAGCCATCTGACATGGTGCCTGGAATTAAACTTAGGTCCTCTGCAAGAGCAGCAGTGTGCTCTTAACCTCTGCGCCATCTCTCCAGCACCCAAGACTCTTTTAATTGCACTGAAATTCAATGATTTGGGTGCTTTGTTAGTCACTAAGAATCTTTCATGTAAAAACTACTTTTGAAGAACTTTATCCTTCATGTGCAGACCTGAACGACCTCCAAGGCTTTGCCTAGGGTCTGGCAGAAACTGTGTGATCCATTATCCATCACACTAAATTTAGCAATACACTGTGTCCCTGAGGCACTTCCACAGGAAGCAAGATTAAAATAGGATGCATGCAGCTAACACACCAGAATTCAAATGCTACTGCCAGCTAACAACCTCCAAGAAACCACAACCGTCTCAGCCAGTGAAATCCTTATCTTTCTGCACCCAGGAAAAGAGAGGGAAAATGATCATGGCTCTCACAATCGCATATAAAATAGCAAAAATGAAATAACAAGATGGACCACAGCAAACAGAAGGGAACCACAGCAGGGAAATGAAGCTGAAGCCAACAAGAAGGCAACTGTATAAAGGCTGCCAGTGAACACAACTTTGTACCAGGAGGATGGGAACCACAGATCTTACTCTTGGTTTCTCAGGAGTCTACTAAGGGAAGACAATGAGGTGATTATTCAACAGTAAAGACAGACTATCAGAAACTCCACTCCTAGACTTTTTATGCATGTATAAAATTTCATCCACAAGTCCCAGAAAGAAAATATTCTGAAGTAGGAACAAGCTA